TGTAATGTGAATGTCTCACTTCGTAAAAAAACCTCAACATCTGCCCACACGCTCTTCCAACTGTGACCACCAGTATGTATTATGTTCTACTGAATTAGTGAAAGGAAGAACTTAAACCTACAAAATACACAGTAAATCTGGACACGAGCCCTGAGACACAAGCAGCACCCAGCCCAGCTGTGCCTCCTCGGCCTGGCTTCAGCAACCCCACGCTTCAGTTCAGCTTCCTGGACCTTGTCTCAGGTTTGCACGGGCTGGTCTCAGAGCAGACCCTCCAGCTGCAGATCCTCACCAGCAGCATCATGTTCGCCCTTGGAGCACAAAGGGCTAGGTCATTTAATGACTCCAAGTAATTTTTAAATTTTATCCTTGCTCTACGATTTTCTTGTCTGCCGCCAAAGCCTATTAATGGTGTGACATTACAGCGAAGGGCTGGGAATGCTTATCCTCTGGTGTGAATGCACAACGGCTTCTGTTTCCCCGTGACATAGTGGCTTAAGCATGGCTCCTTCCCTTTGAGGCCTGAGCTAATCCTCTGGCTTCACGCTGGAGCAGAGGCTCCAGTCTCAACCCATCTCCCCAGGAGCAGAGAGCCTGAGACCCAAAGCCTCACCTACTCCTCTCACACATTTCACTCTTTGCACAAGGAATCCACCCTGAACTAATTTTAAGTGATGCTTCCTCACACTGATCCCTGCACCAGCTCTCCTCCGGAGCCAATGCTTTCCAAATAGCTGCTTTGGAAAGAGGTGTGGGAGGGAGGGTGGGGGGAGAGAAGATGAGAAAAATAGAACACACACAATTGCTTTTTGTCTCCCAGACCCTCTTTTTAACCCAACAAGCATCTCATCCAATGAAGCATGATGAGCATGAAGTGTTATATAAAGAAGATAATTATAAAGGGATTTAATGCTTGGCAGGCTTGCATCGTGAGGTTTATGGCAGAGGTAGCGTACTCACTTAAACAGCCGTGCGTCCGGGTTTGCTATTATGCGGGCAGTGCTGCTGGGGCCAAGCGGAATCAGAAACAAGATTTGTTTTACGGAAAAAAAAAAATAAAATAAAGAGTGCAGCCCCTTTCCCACCGAGGATGGCAGCTCCAGTCCCACCTCCTTCCAGTTCTGTCCCATCCCTGATTAATGATGTTGTCTGCCTGATTTATGACCCACCCCAACAGATTAGAGTTTCCCTCTTCAACCTCCTCCCCTCCCGCCAACTCCCCCCCCCCCCTCAGAAGGCACAGCCACACTTCACTGGAAATATTAGAGAATTATTAAATAAACATTCATACGTCATGTCTCTTCCCATACTGAGCTCATCGTAGTCAACGCTCAGCGGCCGGGCCCTGTTTGCTTTGGGGCTGACACCAAACAGCTGGAGTGATTCATGGAGAGGCTGGCTACAATGCTCTGTGTCATATATCATGCTCGCAGCGCTCCCTGCCCCGGCGGAGATAAACTGATCAACCACAACGGGCTGGAATGAATTTATGACAACACAAAATTGAGGAAAACAAATGGGAGGTGACCCAGTGGGCCACTAACCCAGACTCTTTCGCTGGCCTGCAATCTAGTCTGGTGGCAGAAAGCAAAATTGAACATTGGCACTCTGAATTAAGATGCTGGCTTTTAACCCCGGGGAACCTCAGCTTCAAAATGGCGCCGGCGCCCCTGCGGGCAGCACCTCAGAGGGAGGAGGGAGGAAGACTCGTGTGGGGACGGCGCTCTGGTGGCCCTGAGCGTGCAGCCGGCCTTCAGCTGGGCACAGTGTTCGTGGAGGAGTCGGGGCATGGAATCTGGGCAATTAGGGGACAGGCCGCTCTCGCCAAGCAAAGCTGCATCTCACGTCGAGATGAGGAAGTTTTCAGCAGCCCATCTGCTGAGGGCCACCCCACCACACACGACCTGTCTCTCCCCAGCAGCCTCCAGCACCCTGTGGCAGCCCACACACCCGACATCGCCATGGATGTGCAAGATTAGCTGAGGAGAGCTGGGCCCAGCACCAGGCCTCTCCTTACCTGTGGCTGCCACCCAAAGTTCAAACCTAACACAGCTGAGATCAATGGCAGGAAACCTTCCTGAGCTAAAGACCCATCAGGGCAGGGGGAGCCGAGCCCCATCTGGTAATTTGGCAGGCCAGACACTTCCAAGAAAAAAAAAACCACAGGGTTTAGATTGAAGTAACTTGCAAAGAATTTCAGCAGCATGCCATAGGGAGGATGGCTTGCTGTACAGTACTAATGAATTAAAGCCGAACAAAACACAAACATAGCGTTCTCCTCACCTAGGCTTATTTTTGGAAGAGGGAAGGGGGAAGGAAAAGCATTCTTACGAGGTAAGGATCACTACACAGACTGCTGCTAACTCTATTAGGCACTGCTCTGAAGGGGGAGCACGGCTGACCCCGGTGGCAAACCACGTGCTTCTGAACATTTTCAAAAATGCTAATCAGCTGCTACGCAGGGCTTAACATGCCAATCAATAACGTTGAGATTTAAAAGCAAAAAATTAAAGTTACAAACAATGGTGTAAAGTGAAGCTGCCAAAAACTTCCTGCAAGCGCCACCCAAAACAAGAAAAATGAAACCAATTTAGCTCCAGATTAAGAAACAGGAACTAGAGATGAATCAATTTAGCCTGTTGGGCTGGGTCGCCATATATCATGGCTCAGCAGTAGAGTGGGAAACAGCCAGACAGTATGAAACCCTTCCCCCTCCTTTTCTGTAGGCTTCTAGCTCTGATCCCTGTTATCAATTAATTTAACAGAACCCCTCTACACCGACAAGCACACAGAGCATTCAGACTCCTTAAATGGCAGGACAGAAACTATTTATCACACACGAATCTCAAAGGGAAGAAGGAAAAAAAAATAGCAGTTAGGAATTCTCCACCTGAAACACCATCTTGCTTTCTGAACCTCGGTGAAATAAAGGGCCTTAAAACAAAAAGCTCTCCCTGCTACTTTAAAAATCAGCATTATCGGGAAGACTCAGCAAGACACTAAGGCTCTTCCTGTCATTTCTATCGGGTTTTGCTGACCTTTCGCACCTTTTGCGGCACTGAAGCTTCAGCAGGGCAAGGTTATTGTGGAACAAGGTGCATGCACATACACATGTGCGTGCACACGTGCAAGCACACACACACTCCTCCACTTCACAGCAGAGTTGGCAAGAGCGTTGTTTGGAAAGGACTCTGGGATCCTTCAAAAGGTGCTAGCTAAAGCCTCTTTGATCAGATTATTAAAGCTATGTCAATTTTATCACTTGAGCTCAAGTGTTCTGGAAAATGTCAAATCCTTTCAGCTCCTGCAGTTTAAAGATTTTCAATAGGAGTGGATCTGGGAGGGTGAGGGCCGCTGGTGTGACAGGCAGGAGGCCCAAAGGGAAGCTGAGCAGTGGCTGAGACAAAAGCTGACAGATCAGGGCAGAAGGGATGCATGTATCCTCAAGACCCTGCCACCAGGACACACGCAGCAGCTGGCTCGCTTTAAGGACAAAGCTGCTTCTGCACCGACCTTTGTGCTCTCCAGCTCCGTAGTCCACAGCCAAAGTCTGCTCACTGAGAAGTATCAAACGGCAGACAGCCCGTGTTTGGGACATGCCAATAAAACGTCTTGTAAAAGCAAAGTGCCGAGACCACAAAGCAGTTTCCTCTGCAGCAGGGAGTCTCCTCAGTTAACCCCTGACTGCGAACAAACACTTTGCCAGGCTGCCTGAACTGTCCGATACCCTGCAACCTACAAGGGGCACAATGTCTTGCATCAGGACCAGTGACAGGAAAAGAACAAATTACATTAGCAAAATAACCTTCTGCAAACTCAGCTTAATTTCACTATGAGATTTTTCCCCATCCCAAATTATCAGTGTACCTCACCCCACGAAATGTAAATGATCATGGGGCAACATTTTATTTTGGGCACTATTGACTCAAAAAATCCCCTAGTTAACACAGTCCATGACAACAGTGAAGAGCCTGTAGTTTTGTGCTTGGATTGTCAAAAGCTGCCAGAGTAGGAAGTCTGTAAAGCAGCCTGTAGAAGGAGGCTGAGGAGAGAGGTTGTTACTCAAGTACACAGTGCAGATAAAACATTTTTTTTCTATCCCAGGCTAGGCTGCAGGATATCCACCTAGCAGAGAAAGGAAAGGAGATGAAGAGGAGCACCTGCTTTATCAAACATTCAAACACTGAGACTCAAAACTTGTAATTCAGCTGGAAGGTTTGCAGGTAGAACAAACTCAGGAACTGAGACATATTTTCATGAGCAGCCATACAGAGATGCAATCTGCATCTTAAGGGAAAAGAAATTCTCTCAGCGAAGCTCCTGCCAAGTTATGGGACTGCTGGGATCCCCTTTGCTGGAGAGATGGAGTGTGGAACAAGCAAGTACCATGGAAAAAAGACAGAATAGAGACAATGTGAAGGACTCCTCACAAAAACTGAAGTAAATGATACAGTCAGTTCTCCAGCAAAAGCAAGAGCAGGATTCCATGGATACATTGATAGCAGAAACCTTGCAGGAAGAATCGAAAAATCAAAGTACAGCTTGACAAGCTAATTGCTTTTGTCAGGTTAAACTAGGTTTGAATCTTTACCCCCTGTCCAAAGTCTCAGATCTAATCTGCACTGTTAGGCACCACACAACACATGAAAACCCACCACACCTAACATATGGTGGGAAGCATGGGTATATCTATTTACACAGATTGTAAGCTTACAGTGAAGAAGCCATTTCAAAGCTGCTCTTAATCCCTGGTCACTGGGTACCTGCCCATGCAGATATCTGTGGGAAAATTCCCCACTGGCCCTGTGTGAACATAGCAATGATAAGTCAGGACAACAACAGCTCAGAGACCAGGCTTCACGTTAGAGCAAAACTTCCCCTCACTGATAAAAGCTTCAAACATGCCTGCCCTCAGGCTAGCACTGCTTCTGGGAACGCCAGATGGCACCCTATGGTTCTTAAACCAAAAAAAAATGAAAGCTATCCAACTTGACACTCACTTTTCAATGTCACTGTTCTTACAGGTCTTCTGCATGGTCTCCTGTTTACTGCTTTCACCATTACTCGTTGAGGGCATTTCTGTTGGGGGAAAAACAGACGAATTAGTAACAGAACATTTGATCACTGAGATGAAACAGTCTGAGTGAGTTACAGTTTCAGAAGCAGAGGATCCCACTGAGTCAGTTTCATGTCACTTTTTAGAAAGAGAGTAGACCAACATCACCCGCCCCTGTCTGGCAGGGAGGACCCCTATCTGGACAGCATAATTCTAAGATTTGGGGCTAAAGATACAACACCCAACCTCTCTTCACTTCATACGGACCAACCCTTACAGATGTGTCATCTGCTTAAGCCAGGATTTAAATCAGAAAGGTTTGATGCAGCTGCCATGCCAAAGTGTCCTTCCAGAAAGGTGGGTATGGGGCAAACTTATCCAGCCCAGACCCTGCTCTCAGCTCCTCCCTTTTTTCAAAATGTTTTAGACACAGACAGGGAGAAAAATATATATGCCAGGTAACTAGTACGACAGAACAGTCTGCTCATAGCTCTATTCTTTACCAGCAGTCCCATGGCTCCTCCCAACACTGGAGGGGATGTGAGCCTTCAGCAAAGATAACAGTCAGAAATGAGCCAGATGAGAAGTCCTGGGGCCAGCCTCTGGGCTGTAGGTTCAGCACCATTGCCTCATGTAAAAGGTATGAAGGAAAGAGAGCTCATAGTGAGCGCCATGAGAGCTGCTTCCTCATCGCTGCTGTCGCTGGAGTTACTGAAGCTGAACACACCTACAAGCAAGTGCTCCTACATCACAGAAAATAGATGTGATTGCCTACCCCACAGAAGGAAATGCCTGCAATAGATATCCTATGCTCCTCATTTAATCATCATGCCCTTGGCAAAACTGGTTCTATCCCCCCCCCCCTTTCCACTGGCAGTCAGTTGCGTCTTGTAGATACTTTAAAGGCTGGGAATCAAATGCCCAAAGCATTACAGTAACAGAACAGGGAACAGAATCATTGGGACAAGTCTCTTCAGGTCGCTGAGCTTCAGTTCCCTTCCTAAGGGAGCTAGAACAGCACTGCCCAGCTCTGGAAATGGATTTGGCATCTACAGCTGGAAAGCGCCAGGTTTTATTATTCTCATATTTCCACTGGGTTGCTGTTTACATTTCCAGTGCTACTGGCATTAAATAAAAACAAAGCAACAGTTGAATGGGTTTAACCCCCACCTCCCAATTAATTCTACAAGCTTTCAAATAATCTGAATTACAAATAACATGAATTACAAATTTCACATTTACTTGTTTGCTTTGGAGTCTCTATTACAGGTCAAGAGGTAGGATAAATCCCAGAACCTCTAGCATCCCCTTTTAAAGAAAGGAAGATGATAAAGCAACTGGAAAAAAAAAAATTAACAGGTGCCTACATAGCTTAAACCCCCCAGCAGCTGAACAACATTACATAGTCAAGCTCTGATGGCTCCCTCTGTGATACAGTAGTTTGTCTTTTAGTGACAAGCAAGTCAATCCAACCCCTATCTCTATCACCGTACCACTTACAATTGCATTTTTGGGATCTTCCCCAGATCCATCCACTGACTACAGTTAGCTGTGCTATAAATTTACAAGAAAGATAGTGTGACAGTAAGTGCATATGTATCTGCTGGTACTGCACAAGAGCATTTGTAACTGTAATTTACCTAATTACTGGCCACCAGAAGATATGGAATGTCTGCCCTCCTGTAGCATATAGAATAATGTACATATTTAACACTCACCATCGCTGGCCCATTTAGAAAACTCCGGTGTTATTCGAGTACTGGGTGTGCCACCACTAAAAGAGAAAAAGGCAGAATGCTAAAGGTTAAATACGAAGATTTTGTTGCTTGGGAAAAGCCAGCCCTTCCATCCCCAATCCACACACATCTCTCCCAGTACTTCTAATCATCAGTCTAGGCATCAAATGTGAGCTGCTGGCCTGCTGCAGGAGGTGTTTGTGTGCTAGTCTGCATCTCCACCAGTGACCTCCCAACCTGCTCTTCTTCTAGCTGGGGCCTCTGCTGAATCACACGGGGGGTGTGATGCTGACTGAAGGCCTAGGATTCAAATAACACCTGTGACCTAAGGATCATTCCTGAATACACAACTTCAAAGATGAAAACCTTACTGACAAACAGAAATCCTCCACTTTCCAACAGCTTCTTGCTTTCGGAGTAACTGTATGCCACCATAGGTCCCATCTTTTCCATTTTCCCATTTGAAGAACACCAGTACTGAAGTGCAGACCACTCCTAACCTTGTGCACTCACTTGCAAGCAGTAACAGAAAGGAACCTTCCCAGCAGCCTGCCTACTTGTGGCCGTATGACATTTCAGCTCTGTGCGCTGTGACAGTTGCAATCAAAATGTAACCTAGGCTCATGCTTCTGGACATCAGCTAACCTACTGCATTTCTACAGAAAGTTGCCAGAATTTCAAGGCGCTTTTACAAGCAACATCACGAGTCCAGAAGATGTTTAAGCACTTTGTGTAAACAGCAAAAAAAGTCTTAGGTCCAGTCACATAAAGGAACTAGGTCTCCTGGCTTCATGTCTTCAGTTGTCTCTCTAAGTATTAGGTGTCCACAGCAGATACCCTCCTGCTACAATACCCCTTTCTTAACTGTGGAGGAGCTTTAGCATTTTTGAGGCACTGCCTACGGACTAACACTGTTGGCAAAGTATCGAATGGATCAATGGTTTGGATCCAGAGTGGCAAATACACATTTCTATGGAGTGGAACCTAATTTTGAACTAGTGTTTGTGACAGGCTAAGCAGTAAGAAAACTTCATTTCACTGCTCTATCAATCACTTCAACCTTGACCTCATAGGATCACTTGGTGAAAGAGATAGAGGGGTAATTTAAGCCCTGTTTTATGCAGGGCAGAGGGCTTAGAAAGCAATCCTAGCTCCCTGTTAAGACTCATTTTATTTGCCTGAAATGCTTCCCCAAGTGCACTGAATGCTGTCTGCCTACATTCTCCACAAACATTAGTGGCCAGAGCACACACCCTGTCCAGACCTGCATGCAGGATTAGCTTGTGTACCTTTGCAACACCAACATGATGCAATGAAATCACACCCTAGGTGCCAGACTCCTGACACACTGAACAAGATTCAGATCTTGTTCACGTGGCATCACATTACGCTACTACTACTACTGAATGGATACTCTTCATTGTGAAGCATGATGATGCACAAAGCCTGGTACAGCAGTTTCCCCATAAGCAGAATTTACCTTCTGTCCAGCACTTCGCATGGAAATGACAGCAGTGGCTGGGTGGTGCAGTGGCTAGGGTGAGGGAGAGTGTGCAGGTAGGCTTTATGAGGCTGCGTGGGTAGAGATGGAGACCTACCCACTACACTTCCTTCTTTGCAAGCCTCCCTCATTATGACCTTTGCATTCAAGTGAATGGATCCTTTCTGCTAATTAAGATTCCCCCAATGTAATGAAAGTGAATTAGAAAGGCACAGCACTTACTTTAAAACAGCACCTCGGAGCGCCTCCCTCTCTTTGGCTTCACCTGGCTCTTCCCCAGTGCAAGGGATAACGTCTGCCTCTGTGTACCTGAGCACAAGTGGTTAAGGAACACACAGCCTTGCTGCAGACAGTGGAAGGGCTTCTAAAGTGGTTAGGACACAGAACAGATTCATAGCAACTGGAAACAAATACGTAACAAGAAGAGGTGCTGGCATCCACCGAGGGACTTGCTTTTAGATTCTGGATAATGTTTTAGGTGAAAAGATACAGACAAGTCCTTAGACAATAACATGATGCTGCAGCCTCTTAGAAGAGAAAAACAATTCCTCAAGCTCTGCAAGTGTAATTTACACAACTCCATTATTTCTGTTAGGGGTGCAGACATTTTCTACTGGATAAGGCTTCGGGCTTCAGTGTTAAAGGCTGGTAGAGATTTCAACACAATCTGATTTCACAGCTACACATTCCCTCTCATCACAGCTAAGTCAATGTCTGCCTAATATCCTTGCAAGGAATTCCTCCTTGATGGCTACAGAGCTGCTGTAGGGCAGAATTCATGAAGCTGTGTCTGAAGAGTCTAGCTCCTAGACGGAGAAGTTCCAGAAAACTGCCCTTAATGCCAGTTCTGCACATGAAGTGTCTAATGAAAGGAATAAAAACTCAGTCTCTCAGTTACAGTGGCAGGTGAATAATGCTTGAAATATTTACTGCACAAAGCCCCTGAAATCAAGTGGGTGGCTTGGAAAATAAACTAAATTCCTACCCACGGAGCAAGAAAAGCTATCTATATGGAAGAACTTTGGATGGAGACAAGAGATGGGTAATGAGTATTGCTTATGAAACATGTATCAGAGGAAAAAGTAATTTTGATCTCCTGCAAAGTCTCATACAGACTTCACCAACTGGGTCTGAATTTGTGCTGCATCAACAGAAAGCTCTCAAAGAGAGCAACTGGGAATCCGCATTAGTTCAAATAACATGGTAACTGGGGAAGGTGGTGCCATTTCCAGTACAGCTGGACACATTGTCCAACACTACCCAGAGCAGCACCTGTATGAGAGCTAGCTGAAGGTGCACCTCTAGGTTCCCTCTCAGTAAGAGCCTTTCAAAAAACGATACTGTGGTTTCCCGTATTCAAGTGTGTCGTCCCCATCCACGTCCAGGTCAGCGTCGCTGTCTGGATTCTCTTGCCACTGCACATGATAAACCCAGAACCTGGAAAAAAAATAATAAAAAAATACGTGGGTGAATATTTGAACTGGAGACAAGTGAAGGGGCTCTCCTGAGGACAGCACCAGTCTGAAGGCTGCTTTTTACTTTCAACACGCTCACAAAAAGCACCACCTCCAAAGACTGCACAAGGACTATTTTCTGAAGACTGCACAGAAAACACAGATATTCTAACTTCCTAGATTTTATGCTCTAAAATGCCCCTCAACGCTGAAAATGAAAAATTTGTGACCCTTTGTTGTCCACACAAGTTATCTGTAAGTTGAAGGCACTGTAAGTCTTTTCACTCAAAGACAGAAAAAGAATAGAAGCAAAAAAAGGCTGATTTTTCATAGAAGTGGTTAACACAAAAGCTACACTACTAGTATGTAAAAGAAGGCCACGAGGATGTTCTGAATTAGCCCTTACTTCAGATGCAGAGGGCAGGCAGAAGCTAAGGTAGAATCAGAAATACCATTAAAAAACCTCAGACTTTTTTTTTTAGCTATTGAAAATGTTTTAAAAAAGCAAACCTGTTTTTAAGATCAGGCTGCACAATCATTACCAGCCCCTTACAAACACTTCTTATGTGAACAAATTTCAGTGCAAGTCAACAGGAGTCCTGCACTTCTAACAGGGGTGGATCAGGTACGAGTCCAGTCACAACTCCAGCAGTAAGCAAGAGCAAACAGTTCCACCCAAGACTGAACTGTGCAATATGTGCCACTTTCTAACAATATATACGCTTATTTTGGTTCTCACACATATTGTTTATTGTGTTATTACCAACTGTAATCAGATTTCCTTTAACTGAATCAGAGTGCGAGCACCTACAGAGATGAACCTTCACTTGGTATTTACTTCCCAATATTTAGTAATAGAAGGGAAACACATATGTGTTTCTCTTTATGTGATTTAACACGGGACTTGCTTTCTCCCGTAAGACTGAAAATTAAGCAAAAGTGTCCTGAATCTGAGGGTGATGCAAGGTCCTCATTTGCAATTCAATTCTGTTTAGGGACATTAGCTATGTAGACAAAAACTTGCTCACTCTGGCTGCCTCTGGTTTACTCCTTCATTTCATATCCCACTCTGTGGACAGCAGACCTGGACAGACAGAGGGCACCTACTGGAGTGTGAAGGACTTGGGACATCCAGACAGTTGGTGACCTAAATCTGTGGCTAGAACAGGGAGCACATCCTACTGCAAACACTCAATGAGAAAGGCAGAGGTAGCCCTAGCTCCGGTAGGTTTCTGCACTGCAAACCTGGTTCTAAGTGCAGAAGACAGACTCCTGTTAACGCAGGAACAATGAATACAAGGTGCACAGCTGAAGAAATAGGATGTTCCCAGACCTTAGGAGTGATGGCTGAGCTTGTTCACCCCACTGGTCTCCTACCAGCACGCTTACACAACCTCACACTGTCAGCAGCAGACTCAAACCTTCCCAGCCCAGAAAACCAAGCTGTATTTCTAACAGTCTGCATCTGTGCAGAGAGCACGGCAAGGCGAAGGTCTGATTTCCAAGGACACCACGCAGACAGAGCTCTTTACTGGCGCTCTCTAGGAAGGGATGCTCTCACTGATTCATTAAGCGCCCAATAAAATTTGTTTATATGGATTTGATATTTCTCTTCCCTGAATATAAAGAAGGTCCTTAACGAGTGATAACCGCGGCATGACAACGGTTTTAAGACTAACCTTTCCTAGAAGCATAAACCACCTTTTTTCCTTCCAAGTAATTGCCAGCCTTTACTTTTCAGCAGAGGTAACACAACCAGCATCGACAATGCAGCATCCAGCCTCTGTGTCAGGCAGCAGAGGAGCCGTGCTCGCAGGCCAGCAGTGGGGCAGCCTTCTCCCATCAGAGCCCTCTGGCCGCACACGGCCGGCCAACATATGTCACGAGCTGCCTTCTCCTGCTGCGATGGCTCATCCAGTAAATCTCGAAGCCTTCAGTTCATCACAACGCTTGGGAGAAGATTTAGAGTACTACGAGAGACCTGTCAAAGAAGCTGGATAGTCTTTCAAAGCTGCCCGAGAAGTCGCAGGGGGCGCCGGGGTGGTAATTTACAGGCCTGGCATTTAACCTGCTGTAACACCATCCCCTGCACCTGGCATTACTTTAGCCCATCACTTCTCAAAGGCCATAAACTTTGGACACACAGGTCTTCATTTTTCTTTTGTAGCTGTGGGAAACACAAATCATGCAAAGCTGGAGCTGTGACTTGGCCGGTCCCGGAGGTGATCTCAATGTTAGCCAGACAATGAACACTTGGAGCCCGCTGGGAGGAAGGGGGTCCAGAAGGCTGAATGTAAATGGGACTGCTACCTGCCTGCATCTCCCCGCAAGAACGCCAAGCACTCAGAAATCAGGCATCTTTCCATCAATCTCGTTCCCAAGTGACCCAAGCCAACTAGTGGTTTATGGTCAGAGCTTAAGGAAAGACGAGCTGCTTACTGAGACACAATTTACAAATATTCCGGCACCTTGCCTTCAGAATCCCACTGTCCTTGCTCTCAAAACCTTTGTACTTAAGAAAATCCCTTATGGGTCTGTAACGGTGATACTCCACAGAGCTTTTGCTGAATCGAGCTCTGAAACAGAAATGACTGCATTCCCAGCAGGGTACATCCCTCCTCCCCAGCACAGGGGAAGGGTTTGGGCAGGACACGCTGTGATGACAGGTACACACAGGGCTGGTCTGACACAGTGCTTCCTTCAGAGAGGAGGGCATTACAGAGAAGTCCGTAGGTTAAGACGAGCTGCAGGAAAAGGGCAAATTCTTCTCTGATCAAACAGGCACTCCTAGGCCAGGGCCTAAGGAAGTCACAATAAGGTGATCCAACACTTATCTTTATATCAAATATGGACTTTTTTTTTTTTTGAACACGACCCCAAGTGTGATTTATTGCAACATGATAGAAAACCGAGTCAGAAACTGTGTGCTAAACAAAGCAACCTCTGTGTACCTAGAGACTTTGAACATCAGCTGTGCTGTTGGTTTTAGGACTTTAGAGGCTGCTTTAAAAAAAGGAAAAAATATTCACCAAATATGATTCCAATGTGAATTAAAGGTCTCTAAGTCCCAGTACTGCCACTGCATGCAGGGGAACATGGAAGAAGAGGATGCCACGCTCGGTCCAGCATCACCTGTACGAGGGCTGGTGGCAGGCTGGTTGTTCTTACACCCTCACCTGAAGCAGGGAGGGATTTTGAGGCCAGTTCCAAGGGGCAGGGGTTTGGTGCCACAGTTTCAACCTGACCCTCCTTGTCTGACTTCCTGGGGTTGCTTCCATGCACAAAGCCAGTGAAAACACCCACGCAGCTGTTCAAATATTTGACGTCTGAACTGCTTGACATTATTCATTCATCTCAGGCTCATTCAAACCAGATTTCTGGACAAGTGCTGTTATAAATGGATTAAGAGGGCCACTAAATGCAAGGAAGGCCTGATAGGATCACACCTGCTTCTCACTAACTCAGCTCAAGTGTAAGGAGGGCTCAGAACTTCAGCTCACGCCGGCAGCTCTACGGCACCATCCAGGAGTGAGGAAAATGCGAAATAGAGCATAGGAAGTGTCAAAGAATTAAACAACCTTCGTGATGGCCTTATTTCAGACCCACCAGAGGAGAATGGGAGCTTCCAGAAGACCCTCTACCACCACACCCGGGTGATTTGCAATTCAGCAGCGTGCTCTGGGCTCCTCGGCAGGGCTCAGCCTCTGAAGGACACGCAGTAATTCACCGCCAGCCGCAGCGCTGCCTAGAGCAGACCTCTAAAACCAATGCCGCTATCCAGAGGTCAATGCTCAGGACTAGAACTTTATCCCGACGTGTTAATAAAGTGAAATCTGACAACTGAATGCTAAGTTGTAAGCTTGACCTAGGAATTCACGGGAGATGTGATCCTGAGGCTGTTATTCGTAGAAGCAGCTGCGAATCTTACACAGAGACTCACCTAAGGCCTAAAGAACACAATTCCACATGTGAATTTGAAAATACTACCTTCAGATTAAAACAAAAAAATGCAAACTCTCCCATATCTTTCATTTCCTTGTTGAAAGAGCTTTCTTTTTTCTTTCTTCCTTGCTGTGCATTTGGTAGGAGGCAACCGCTTGTCATACGCTGCCAGCCCCGATGCAATTAGCCTCCCGATGCGAAAGCAGCACAATTCTCTGACAGTCTTAATCCCTGCTGCCTCCTTAAGGTCCAGACAAACAGGAGTGAGCAGGCAGGTCAGACACTGGGGCCATTAAGCAGAGAAAAAACAAAGTTACAGCTCTGTCTCCAATCCCCATTGCTCTTGCAGCCAGGTGCTCTGACAAGCAATTCCAGCACTGGTATTGAGTGGCACCTCTATAAACCCTGTGACAGTTTGGGAGACAAACTCCCCCATCAATCAGAATGTACCTATCAAGATCACTTACCTACAGCGCCCGCCACCCTCCAGCACTGTGTACACAGCTTTGCTTGGGCTGGCCTCGGAGCAGTGCGCCTGAGCTCTGACTCAAGTCAGTTTCTGAAAATTTTAGGTGCTCTACACAAGCACCAGGGTTTCTCAAACACAGAGGCTGAGCTCTGAGAAACAGAAAAAAATCCCATGCCTCTTCACCACCACCAGGCTGCAGACACCCACAGGCTACAGGAGTCAGCTGAGCTTGAAGGAGACTTGGAAACGCTTCCCACTTCCTTCCATGCACAGATTAATAATGGCTGCAGATAAATCTCACCTGCAATCCTTTTCTTCCCCTTTGCGTTAAGTTTTTAGAGCACTTTGCTTTCCCCTAAGCCGTCCCCTATGCATAAGCATCCTCGCTGACCTCTGCACTGCTTCTCAAATCTCGCCTCCTTTGTGCAATCCCCCAGCTGACAGGTCGTCTCAACACATCCTCCGTGAATGGCAGCTCGAGCTAGGATCGAGAGTCATTAACATGATATATAAGCAGATCCGCAGAACAGAACAGAGGAGAGGGCCTCGCATTGAAGTCCCTCCTTTTCTCC